CAAAGCCACAAACTGTGAGCTCATGACCTAAGCCGAAACCAAGAGTTAGATGCTTAACTGACTGAGCCACCCAGGGGCCCCTAGTAGTTATGCTTATTAATTAAGAATGATCCTGGGGCCCCTGGGTGGCTGTGAATTAAGTGTCTAACTCTTGATTTCAGCTCAGGTCATGATCTCATGATCCTGAGATGGAGCCCGATAGGGCACTGTTGTAAGCATGGAGTCTGCTTGGGATTCTCTCTCCCTCTCTCTCTCTCTCTCTCTCTCTCTCTCTGTTCCTACCCCAACGAGTGCATGCACATGCACACACATTCTCAGTCAAAATAAATAGATAAGTAAATGTTTCATAAAGAAGAATGATCTTATTTGAATGCTAGTAATTCCATAGAAGCTTATGAAATCTTATTTTGTGAGGAAGTTTCAAACCAAGTAAACATGTACACATTCTTGTATATTGTATTTAAGCTATTTTTTTCCCCAAAGTAGGCTTCAAGCCTAGTGCAGCACCCAAAGCTGAGTTTGAGCTCACAACCCTGAGATCAAAACCTGAGCCAAGATCAAGAGTCAGACACTTAGCTAACTGAGCCCCCCAAATGCTCCTGGATTGCAGCCAATTTAAGAGTGAGACATAAGTAAGTAAAGATGCCTTTACTTGATCTTTGAGTTGACAATGATAATACTGTCATTTATTATAAAATGAGAATTCTTGAAAATATTCCCACACCAACTCCTAGACTGTCCAGCCCTCTGCAAGCCAAATATATAAGCAAATAATCACACAGACATGTTATTGGCCTTTGTTCTTGTACTCACTAGTCAAGTACAGATTTGGAAAGTTTTAGGTTAGCAGCATAAGCAGAGTTAAATATATGACATTTGACTTCCACTCATTACTTATGTCTAGTATTTTAAATATCATATGGATAGTATTTCCTCCTGTATTAAGTTGCTATGGGTAATATTTTAAATTATTTTTTCTTCTTTGCCAGAAGAGATATAGGAAGATGAAACCCAAGCATGTTATTCTATTATTCCTGAGAGCAAGATTTAATTGCCTGAATAATTCAAGTTCATCTCCTGCAGTTTGGTACTTCAGTGTTTGTCATTTTGATCCCCTTTGAGATTCAAAACGGTTGCTTTTATAACCCAAATTTTGCTTACTTGCTCGTTTTACCAAATGTTGACCTGGAATATGTTGGATTTATAATATATCCCACTCCAGCATAAACTCTGTGAAGGCAGAGATTTTGTCAACCACTTTATAGTACCAAGAACAGTACTAACACGCAATAAGCATGCAGTCCTTACTTGTTGAATACCTAAGTCAAGGCTTCTCAGTCTTGGCACTATTGACATTTTCTGAATAAATCTCTATTGTATCCAGCTTTCTTTTGTACTGGAGGAGGTTGAGCAGTATCCTTGGCCAAGACACTCTAGATGCCAGCAGGTGCCAATAGCATCTTTCTATCCCCCTTCCTCTACCCAGTTGTGACAACTTCAAATGTCTCCAAACAATGCCAAATGGTTCCTGGGGGAGGGAAGGGCCCAAATCTCCCTCTGTTGAGAACCACTGCAGTAAATTAATGAACTGCCTTGGCACATAAAAAGAAGTCATCACAAACATAAATCCCTGGTAGAAAACAAAAGAATCTGGAAACTGATTTACATGATCAATATAGGCCACTGAAATGGATCGCTCACGCCTCACCCTAGGTAACACGATTGCTGAGCCAATGCAATAATCTGTTATAGTAAGAAAGAACTTTTCTGTCGTCTTGTGGCAGAAGAGAAGGTGTCACCCTCAGCCACTGAGAATAATATTGTGGCAGTGTTTATATCATCCATCCGACTTCCCCCAACCTAGTTTTCTAGAGACCCCACTGTCATTTCTAGGTCTGAAGATAGAGGTTTTAACCCCGAAGTCTACAAAATATTTAACACTGCAAATGCAGTATGGGACTCTGGGTTATTTTGGTGATGCAGCTGCTGGTAGCTCATACATTTCTGGAACGTGAAAAGCATCCTGTGACAATGTGCAATTGTTGTCTAAGCTATGACACATTTGCCATTTGCCACGGTTCTGGCTTCCTTCACATGGTGTTTGGAGGACTGGAAAAATCTGCCACCATATTAGCGAGGAGAAATGTTGGGGGTGAAGAAAGACCTAGGGGAACAGGTTCAAGAATCACACTTCAGCTGTGCCAAGTTCTCAGCTCAGACGAAAGGCTTGTGGGCAACAGCTTACATAAATCACTCTCTCTGTCTAAAGGGCTAGGTTTAGATGTTTATGTTTGGACGACCCTGGGCAAGTTACCTAGCCTTTCTAAGCCTGGATGGACCATCCATAAAAGAGGGGATTGAGGTGATGTTGAAATGATGTATTTAAAACACTTAGCACAACGTCTGGCATGCAGTAAGAACGGAATTGATGTAAGCTATTATAATCATCATTAAGCAGGAGATGTTATAGCCATAAGCTAGTTGACTGTGATGGAAAGAGCGAGGATGCAAGGACAATGAGGGCATAGCGATTCTGGTAGAATCATGGTTCAGTTACTTCCTAGCTGTGTGAACCCTTGTATGAATCACCCTAAGTTCTATTGTGCTGCAGTTAACAAAAGACAAAAATCTCAGGTACTTGCAACCCCAAATGCATTTCTTGCTCAGCTCCATGTTCATAAAGCCCAGGTGCCGCTCTGCTCTTCATAAATCTTTTTTTTTTTTTTTAAGTTTACTTACTTTTGAGAGAGAGACAGCGAGCACAGGCACGGGGGTGGGGGGCAGAGCCAGAGGAGGAGAGAAGAGCAAGCAGGATCTGTGCTGTCAGCGCAGAGTCTGGTGCGGGGCTCCATCCCACAACCCATGAGATCATGACCTGAGCTGAAATCAAGAGTAGGACGCTTTAATAGACTGAGCCACTCAGGTGCTCCTGCTCTTCATCAATCTTTGGCCAGGACCCAGGCTGTCCGAGTAGCCTCTGTGTGACATGTTGTATTCATGGTGGTATAAGAAAACAAACAAGATGGCAAATCTCTAAAGGTTCTGAATGCACACATCACCTTGCCCATCTTTCAGTGGCCAAAGCAAATAAAATGGCAGCTCCAAAAAGGCAAGGAAGGCCACACAGAGGAGGGGCACTGCAGAGTGGTAAGACAGTGCTACAACTGACCCCATCTCCCCTGAGAACCACTGAGCTTTCACCTTTGCTTTTCATTATTATTTGTGTGGGCACTAAGAAATATAACTAATCCGTGTGGACAGATTACGGTGGGCCAGACTGCCTTAGATACATTATCTACGAAACCTCATTGAGTCCTTGTAACAAACAGCTGAGGTAGATATTATTGGCTCCAGTTTTTACAGATTAAAATAACAACTGAGGTCTTGAAGAGGCTAAGTCACTTCACACATAAGATTATATACATGTGGGGCCCCTGGGTGCCTTAGTCAGTTGGGCGTCCGACTTTCGCTTAGGTCATGATCTCGCGGTTCGTGGGTTCGAGCCCCGCGTCGGGCTCTGTGCTGACTGTCAGCTCAGAGCCTGGAGCCTGTTTCAGTCTGTGTCTCCCTCTCTCTCTGACCCTCCCCTGCTCACGCTGTCTCTCTCTCTCCTAGAAATAAAAAAAAATAAAAAAAAAAAGATTATATACATGCATGTCAGGCCACATACTAAGTACTTGATACCTTCCTTCTCTCCCCCTCCCCTTGTTAAGTTGTATAATGGTTTATTTTGGAAACAACTGTTTCCAATTGTTTTAGACTCTCTGTATGTAGCAGTAGGAACAAAATGGGGGGATTGCAGATGGTGCAACTAGCCCTTTGGAGTGCTTACGAAATTTCTAGTCTCAAACAAAACCCATCGGCCGGGGCATCTACCCTGGATGTGCTCTCTCTGACCCACGTTTGGCCTGCTGGCTCCCCTTTGCAGACCCTTAACTACGCATTTCCATTTTCATCCCCCACTCTTAAATATCAGTCACTCCTCCCCACCCCAAACTCCAAACCTTTTTGGCAAATCTTTGTAGTAAACAGATGGGGTATCTGTGTTGCTCGGAGACCACTTCATATGTGGAATCCAGTCCAGAGCGAGTGAGAAGGAAAGGGCGTATCAGCAGCATGACTGACTGGTTACGTGCTCTCCTCTTCCTTTTTTCTTCTTTTTCTTTCCCTTTCCCCTCCTACTCTTCCCTTCTACGAACCCTTACGCCCCTTCTCTCTCTCTTTCTCTCTCTCTTAAATTCAGCTCTGGCTTCATTATCTGTTAACTGTTTAAACTAGAGCCGACCACATCCCTTCCATGGTCCTCAATTTCCTCACCTCTAAAATGAGAAGAATAGTATACTAACCCACGGGGCTTTTGTGAATATGTGATGTTTATAAAGCCCTTTGCACAATTTCTGACTCAGAGAAGGAACTCAATTGTTTTGTTGTTGTGGTCTATTATTTCCGTCAAGGTTAGCAGACCAAGGGAGGGGAAAAGGTATGAGTCTGGGAGGCAAGGGCGCATTACTATTAGGATGAATTTGGAGGAGCTGCATTTGGGGGTTATTTGTGCCGCAAAGGGTCTCGGTAGAAGAGCCTGAGTTACGGAGGAACTTGAATTTCAGTCCCTGGGTGGCCCCTCATGAGCTGTGCGTTACCTTGGCTGATTCGGCCTCTGGAAGTGTATTTTCTACTTTTAACGTGGGCATGGCCTCACCCAGCGGCCTCGAGAACTACCCGCGTGGCGCACGGTCCCACAGTCAGGCTGACTTTGGTCCCCCGTCCCTTCCAGCCGCGTGCGTCGAGCTCAGCCCGACCCGCTCCGGGTGCTGGGGGAAGGGGCCGCGTTACCCCGGTTCTCGGATGCACCCCGACACCCGGGGCTGCCCGGCCGCGCCGCGGGCGCTCCCGGGAGGCGTGTGCGAACGAACCAACGAGTCAACAGGCTTTCTTTGGTGTGCGGGAGTCGGCGGACCTCACACCCCTCCCCTGGTAAGGGGCGGGTGCCCTTCTCTCACCTGGAGCCCCCGTCTTCAGTGTGGGAACCAGTGCCGCCGACGGAGCCAGCACGCAGTCCCCGCGCGCCCGCCCCGAAGTTTCCCCGCGGCCCGAGGGCAGCCGGCGGGCGCGCGCCGCGCGGGAGGAGCGGAGCCAGGCTCCCGGCCTCGCCCGCCCCCCGCTCCCCCTCCCGGAGGCAGCTGGCCAATGGCGGCCCTCCCCGGGCGCTCCCCCCCCCCCGCCGCCTCTCCCCCTCCCCGCCGCCCCCCTGCTTCGGCTCGCAGCTCGGGCTCGCAGCTCCGCGGAGCGCACGGCCGGCGGAGCGGTAGCCAGCCCGCGCCGGGCCCGCTCTCCCCGGCCCCCGCGGCGCCTGCACGCCCCGAGCCTCGCCCCTCCGGTTCGTGGCCCCGAGGACGACGCGGCGGCGTCCCCCGAACTTCATCTCCCGACTGGGAGAGGACCGCGCGCGGGCGAGCGATGGACCCCGTGAGTCAGGTAGCGCGGACCTGGGCTGGGGGGGCCCCCCGCGGTCCTGATAGGCGCCTCAGCCCCCTCCTCACCCTCTCTCTTTCTCTCTCTCTCATCTGGCCCGTCCAAAGCTGGCCTCTGCGGGCACGTTCCGGGCGCTGAAGGAGCCCCTTGCCTTCCTGCGAGCCCTGGAGCTGGTGAGTGCGGGCTGTGTGCGGGGAGGGGGCCGGGCGGCGAGCCGTCAGGTGCCGAGAGGTCGCGAAGGGCGCCCAGCGTTGGCTTCCGCCGCCAGCCCGGAGTTCGGCCCCGCGCCTGCGACCTCCCACTCGGCAGGTGTCGTTCTGGAGGGACCCAGCTTGGCCACGGGAGTGCGGACGGGCTTTTGCAGGCGCTCCGAGGTGTCATCTCACCTCCCGATCGCACGCGCAGGGGCTGCTGTCGGGAGCGTCCCCGGGAGATGGAGAGGTGGCAAGGGGAGCAGATGGGGGAGCCTCGGGATGGGCTCCGGGCCTCACCTGCACTTCTGCGGGGGGCAGAGGGAGGGTGGTGGTGAAGGCTGGAGACGAGGGACTCTCTGAAGGCTGGGCCTCCACTTGGCCAAGCTCACAAGTTGCTCAGCACTGAGATCGCTCTGCGCCCGGACTGGGATGCGGGAAGCCCTGTGGTCAGTTATCCTGCGGGAGCTCCAGCGAGGCGCTTCCAGGCTGCGAATGCTGTTGGTAGAGAGAGCAGGAGTCCTTCCTTCCACGGTGTAATTTCTCTACCCTGACCACTCCTCCAGGGCTCTAATGAACCCCCCCCCCCACACACACACACGCACACATGCCCTCAGCCTTCTTGGTATACCTTTCTTCAGCCAGCAGGCTCTCCGAAGTTTTGTTACTCTTCTGTTTTATCCCCTTTTAAAAAAACACTCTGACAGCCCCTTGGCTGCCTGTCTGTTGACAAGCAGTGAGGCACAGAAACAGTTACCCACGGGGCCACAGAGCAATGTTGGTGTTGGCTTAGATGATGGTTATTGAGAGTGAAATCTGCAGGTCGCACTTTCCCTCTTGCTAGGAGCTCTGAAAGGCAAGCGGACCCATCTGAACAGAAAGTTCAAAGCCCGTCACGTAGCATTAATCACAGGCCCCACCACTGACTAGCTGGGAAATTATGTAAGAGCATGTCCCGTCCTCCCTGATCTTGAAGCCAAGGGCTAGTGTGTGGCTTTGGCTACACAACTGTGTGTGTTGACATGATGATCCACAGAGTAATCACATGTGCCTTGTTTGTGGACCTGCATAAAAGTGCAGGAATATATAAATTTGACATACATCATGACAGCGTTTGGAAGGCTTGACCTAGGGATTCAGGATGGCCATTATAAAACCGTTTTCCTTACAGCCAGGTTAAAGAAACCAAGCAGAGCTCATGGTCTGTGAAACTTCCGGTCAGCTTTCTCAGGACTCTGCCCACATTCATTGATTCAGCCATCCAGTAAACATTCTCCGTGGAAGAGCAAGGGTTTTTGATCAAAATGAGAACTCCATTGCCAAGCTGTTGTCTCTCAAAACAAAATTTGAAGAGTTGACATCATTTTCTGGTATCTCTGATTGTCTCACCTTGTCATTTATTGGACACATAAATTTGTATTCTTTTCAGTCCTGTGACAGCATTGTTTCATGTCACTACTCTCCACACAGCCTCTACCAGTATATTTCAAAAGTACAGTGAACCTGGATAAATTGGTTTAAAAAGCAGATTTCTGGACGAGAACTCACAATATTGAGAAGATGGGTTCCCAGGAATCTGCATTTTAAACAAGCACCCTAGGTAATTCCTATGTACTTTGAAGTCAAAGGACCACTACCCTAAGCTATCCAGGTTCCCTCCAAAACTCAAAAGCACTTTATACCTTTAAGTTTCCCTTTGTCCTCACACCCCAAGCCAAGAAATAGTGTTTGTCTTTTAACCTAAGCTATCTCTCATATTGACTCCTTTCCTTTTACTCTACCCCAAATAGAATGATTCAACCCGTTCTTTGTAATGGGATTCCATTACATTTTATTTGTGAGAATTTATCACACTGCATTACAGTTGTTTTTTTCTAGATATGGTGTGTGTGTGTGTGTGTGTGTGAGAGAGAGAGAGAGAGAGGGAGGGAGGGAGGGAGAGACAGAGAGAGAGAGAGGGAGGAAGAAGAAAAGAGAAAGGGAGAGAGAAAGGATTAACAAAATATTTATTACACCTAAAATATTTACAGTCTTTCCTCTCTTTTAGGCCCCTAAGGCTATAAGGTGGAAGAGTTTATGCTTGGTGATCAGTTATTAGATTCTCATTTGTGGAAGAGAGCCTGAAAAGGGACAAAAAATACAAACCAAACCAAACTAGAACTTAAAAAGTCAGAGAAGTTAGTTGATCTATTTTTTGAAAGAGCTAAGGTAGAGAGGTGAAAGCAGAGAGATAGAAGAAGGTTAGTTACTGAGCAAGTTTAACAAAGCGAAGAGAGAAAAGGAAAATCTATGTTACCTGTGTGCATTGGTATGAGGTATCTCTCTGAGGCATCTTTTTCTGTAGGAGAAAGTGACAATGAAACAGAGTGTTGATTTCTTTGACAGGAAATTTGTTCTGTTTGTCTCTGTGTTCCCCACTAGTGCCTTTCATAGTACTTGGTAAGCAGTATGTGATCAGCAAAAGGTATAAATTGATCATGACAAAGCACTAATAATACCCCACTTTCTCCTTTTCTATGGAAAGCAGCTTTAAAGTTGCTACTCCTTAAAAATTTTGCACTATGATCCTTTTGTTTTTCAGTATGTATAAATAAAAGTGTATACAAAGATATATGATCAAGGACATTGACTGCAACATCATTTGTAGAGGAAAGAACTGGAAATGATAAGTCCATTCATAGGAAAATCGTTAGTGTATGATTCATGTATGTTGTGAAATATTATACTGCCATTAAAAAGAATGAGTTAAATTAATATGTATTGACCTCAAGGTCAGTATATGTAATTGTCTTTGATAGGATTGTCAAGTGCAAAAGAAATGGGTTTATTCTTAATATTTGATAAATTATTCAAGGGGAAAAATAGCTTTCATTCTTTTAGTCAACAATTTATTCAATCAGATTTCAAAATAACGCATAGAGTATACTACTATTTTTGTAAAAATAGAAGAAGGGAAATATAGTTGTGTGTGTGAGAGAGAGAAAGAGAGACAGATTTGTCTGAGCATAGTGAAAAGCATAGATGTGTACCACTGAACTGTTAAAATTGATTTTTTTCCAAAGAGTGTAATTTGAGGTGCAATGAGGAGAGAAGAGAGGATGAAGGGAAGCTATGTGAAGTAGGAAGAGCCACAGGTATATCATCTGTCTACAGTTGTGTACAACTGTAATTTTTAAAATAACTTATGTTCTGAGTAATTTCCTATGGATTGGCCATATGAAGTTGTATTACTTCTAAAGACATGCTCTGATTTTGGACTTACAACCTGCGGAGGAAACATACACTTTAATTATGTCTCTTTGCTTAGGAAAGGCTCATGGATATAGTAGATTTAAAGTTTAAATAATGTATAAAGTTAAGCCTTCAGGGAAAAGCTTTAGCCAATTTCAAAGACTTTGAAGCAAAACTTCCAATTCTTAATATCTACTTAAATGAGGTCAAGGACTTCTCACTATCTTTTGAGTCAAACCCAAAATTCAGGACATAGCAGCAATTCCAGTGGTCTGTTTCATTTATCCCCTGATGATAGAATAGATCCAGCAAATCTCTTAAACTTTCGTTTGGAAGTGGTAAAAAAAAAAAATTACATTTACCCCATTTCTCAGACTGACTCTGAAAAACTAAGTTAGTAGAATCCTGCCTTCCACTGATCACTCTTACTGTGCTACTTCAGTTCTTTACCAGTAGGACTTTGGTCTTTTTTTTTTTTTTTTTTTTTAAGTATTGTCAGTACATTCTTTCTTCCCTCTACTATTTATAAGGCCCTGGATATACACTTGTGGATTTATATATACTAGAATGTGGCAGACCCCAACACATCTCCATCATCCAGAATTAGAGTAGATTGTCAGGGCATCAAAAGGACTTCAACTCTACAAATGATATTTGACACAGTCTTCCAACAGCAAAATGCCGCTAGTCCAGAGTCTATCCCTGTAGAAATAGCTGCTAGGTCAAATTGCTTGGTTCCTCTAATTCTTAATCTTTGACATCCATCTCACATTTTGCTATACCATTTCTGCAACAATCCAGGACTTCACATTCCCATTCTGCTTTTCCTCTCTGCCTTCCCAAAGGAAGCCAGCCAATCCAGAGATGCAGTGTTCCTGATAGATGAACTGGAGGGGCTACTCCTTCATGAAATGAAGGCACCTGCTTTGCAAAAACTTCATCCCTAAGTTCTCAACCATGTTTTCCAAACAAACGTCAAACATCATTCTGCTTACTGGATATTAGCGTTTATAATAGTGTTATTGATAGTAACAAAATAAAGCAATAATATGATTACTAAAACAATATGTAATTAACATAATATATCACCATTTTAAACACTTAATGAGAAAAAGAGCAAGAGCTACCTTTCTCATGCAGACTTCACGTGAGGCAGTATATTTCAGTGCTTTCAATACATTACCGTGTCAAAATCTGTATGACTAACATTTCCATTTCACCATGAAGCTCAGGGATGTTAACTAACTCATCAAGAACAAAATTGTGGGAAATGGCAATGCCAAGATTTGAGCCTTCTCACTCCCATCTGTATTCTCTTAAATGCTACACTTTTCTACTTTCATCAGTGTGGTAGGCACCTGCTGTACCTTATCCCTAATCCTCAAAGAAATGTTTAAAGGCAGATACTATCCTATTTGCAGAGTTTATCTCACCCACTAAGATATATTTTTGAAGCTTTTTCTGAAAATGCCAAGGAGGGTTTGCATTTAGAGACAAATACAACAGACATCAGTTGTCTTTTATATTGTTTTATTTTCTGTTGGTTATTAAGATAGAATAGGTTCTAATTAAAAATTAGTATCTCTTCATTTAAAATACATAGAAAAAACTGTGATTATAAAGCCAAAAATGTAATCTCATGTTATGGCCTTTTTTTTTTTTTTTCAATTTTCTTAAAAAAATCTATGTGCATGAGTCAGACAACTCTTTCTCTTTTTCCTAAGTATAAACAAGAGAGGGAATTCTAACAT